TGGTTGGGAAAGATGGAAGAAGCCACCAATTCATGTGACCCTAACATTTGTGTGTGCCAGTGAAAGATATGCAAGTGTATGCATGCCAAAGGTCAGAGTTCTGGTGGGAGCCTTCTATAGCACACCCAAGGTTGAATAATCTTGGTCAGCACAGCTTTTGTATCTTGAAATCATATAATTAATGAAACATTTTCATAGACATGAGTAGTTTTCGTGAGTTGGGGGCCCTCTAAATTCTTGTCATGGGGGACAAAAAAAAAGCTAACATTCTTAACATGAGCTATTTGGTAAATTTCAAGGCACTTAGCAAAAATGATTAGGATGCTACCCAGTAAGGTAGGTGCAGGTCTCTCCTGTGCCCCTACCCCATACTGCTTTGGGGTGAATTCAGGACAAATTCAAAGGCTTTCTATGAAGCCCTCAAATACCTCCTCTCTTAGGAACAAAAACTACTGGCCACATGTTCCTGTAGATTTTTCTTTTATGGCATACTCAACAAGATGGCTTTTCTTAGCATACTCATGCTAGCTTGCTAATGCTCTTCTAGGCATTTGTCTTTTATTCTTTGTCCCCTTAATCATGTTTTTCTCAGGGTAAACACAAACTGTGCAACTGACATTCTGCTGAATTCCCTGTGAGTTTAACTGAACTTAACTTGCTCTCTCAACACTATTTCCTAGTGAGGACAGTCCTACTTTATATGTATATGTGTCATTTACACGCTAGATCAGTAGTTCTCTACCTGTGGGTTTTGTCCTCTTTAGGGGTTGAATGACCCCTTCATAGGGGTCACCTAAGACCATCAGACAACACAAATAATTACATTACAATTTCTAATAGTAACTAAATTTTAGTTATGAAGTAGCGATGAAAATAATTTTATGGTTGGGGTGTCACACAACCTGAGAAAATGTATTAAAGTAGTGCAGCATTAGGCAAGTTGAGAACCCTCTGCAGGAATGAATGTCTATCTTTCTAGGCTCCCTCAATCTTGCCAACTCTTCTTTGGAGCTTTGCTTAGATGCTCAAGAACATGCTGTTGGAACCATCATTCCACAAAGGATCGGACATTCAATATACTCAGCTCTTTAGACCATCTGATCTGTTCTCTAGGAGAGTGTACTACTGACCAAGACTTTCAAGATGCTGTGTGTATATATTTGAAATTTGCATATATTAGAAAGAGTAGCCAGAGAAGATAAAGCAGGAAGGATAAAATACTGCTTCTACCATGTATATACAGCACTGGTGACAATCTTCCGGACAGTAGCATGGAAGCCTTGCTCTAAGAGTTTCATGTAAAATGTTCCTTGTTGCCAAAAGCTTGGTAAAAGTTTTCCTGCTTCATAAGCACAGAATTACAATAGAATTCCAAGAGTCTGACACATGACATCCCACTTAAATGCCCAGCAGGGACTTTAAGGTCACTGTAATAATGAATAGGCAAAGAATTAATAGGAGTTGAGCCTATTGAGCCTTCCTGTGTTGCAGCTGGGCACAACAGTGCTCTGTTCATTGCCTGTAAACACGTTCTGGGCATGGCCACCACAGCTGTGCGAGGCACAGCTGCCCCTCAAAAGCTCTGTAGAGACGGGAGCCTGCTTAAGTCACTCCACCCTCTTCTCCCATCAGACATATTTCCTTTTACATTATCAGCTACACAACAGCTACATTTGTGTTCTAGAGATGTTTAAGAATGGAGATGGTTGCACCAAACACCATCTTCCTTCCTCAACCTTGCCCCCACTCCACATCCTCTTTTCCTCCTGGCTTCCAGTACATTCTTCACTCTTTTTTCTTTTTTTCATGACTCCCCCCTCCCCCGCAGGTTTACTTAAGGCCATTTGTGATGTAACTAGCCCTCAAGCATCACCACTTTTCTCCCTATCCTACACACTTATTGCTTCCTCTACCTCTCCCTGTATCTTCTACAACAGTGGTTCTCAACCTTTTGGGGGGTTGTGACCCCCCCAAAAGATCATTGGAAAACACAGTTATTTACATAACAGTTCATAACAGTAGCAAAATTACAGTTGTGAAGTAGTGATGAAAATGATTTTAAGGATGGGTGTCACCCCAATATGAGGAACTGTATTAAAGGGTTGCAAGATTAGGAAGGTTGAGAATTACCATTCCAGTGTTTAGATTTCTAAGCATAGGGTGTCCATCTGCTGCCGCCCCCCATCTACCATTGGCTAAACTATCTTTCCCAAGTTCCTGTGATTTCTTAGTTGCTTCTTCAGTCTTGCCTTCTAGCTCCCTCTTTTGAGTCACCTTCTCATCAAGCTTCTCCTAGTATTCTACTGACTTTTATCTACTAAAGCTATAAAAATCTGTTTGGCTGTTAATATTTTTCTCGCTTACTGAAAAGAGTAGATTCTTGGAGAGTGATAATATTACTGTAGAACTGTAACAGAAGCAGGTTCAAATCCAAGCTCGACCGTGATGCTTATGGACCGTGATGATGGACTACATATTTAATCACACTCTTTAGGATCCTAGGTCATACTAGCAATCCTTACCATGTTCTCCTGGGAACTACTCCATTCAACACTGGGTGACTCTACAAAATATTCACTGTATAAATGGCAGTGCACAGTGGTTGGGCAGCATGCTGCCAGCTGATGCTGCAGCTATCTGCACAGCTACTATGAACACACTGTCATCATCAGCGAAATGAGCTAATAAAGAATTATCCCCTCTCCTCATTAAATGCTACTATACCATATGCTTCTGTTAAACATTTGCAAAGCTAATCTAAGGCATGATTTGTTCATCATGTGAAACCTAGGAAAATACATCAGATAAGGTGTCAATGTATGTCAGCACAAATCTTCACACTCTAATTCCCTTCTCTTAAGGTATTAGGAATGAAAAATACACTGTAAATTTAATAAAAACCGATGTGCTTGAAAGTGTTTCTTTTTCAAATTTTACTATTCCTAATTAAATGCATGTGTGTGTTTGTATGTCTCTGTCTGTAGGTATGTACAAGGGAGTGCAGGTGTGTGGTCCCCTGAGGCCAGCAGTGTCAGATCCCCTAGAGCTGGAATTAAAGGCAGTTGTTAGCTACCTAATGTGGGTTCTAGGAATTGAACCTGGCTCCTCTGGAAGAGCCAAAAGTGCTCTAAACCATTGAGCCCTCTCTTTAGCTCCTGAACACTGTTTTTTTTTTTTACTTATTTTTAACCAAACATGCATTCAGCTAGGTACATGGCTTATGTTTGTAATAGCAGCATTCAATAGGTTGAGGCAGGAGAGCTGCCATGTTGGACTATACAGTCATGTCTGGCTAGCCTGAGTTACAGAGTAAGTTTTAATTTAGTCAGAGCTGCAAAGAGATGATAGCAACAAGAACAACAAAACTACTAGGTTGATAATAAAATGTTACTTACTGGCAATGACTTGGACTACTAACTGAAAACAAACAGTGTTCATAAAACATTCAGATTTACATCACATGTACTCCCTGATGTTAACCATCACTTGGGATTTACCTGCTTTCTTATTTAGAAATTTCACTGGGTATTTAACACTAGTTGAAATTTCTTTACTTCTACAATTTCAAAACTAGTGACTTCTTTAGGTTATTAGAATGAACTCAACAGACACGGCCATAAGATAAGCATTGATTTATAGAGCGAAGATGCTACAATTCTGGATCAGAGAAGGAACAAAGCTATTTATACACCTAAAGAAAACAGTTAAAACTCACATGTCATACCAGATAAAGATACCTTATGCACATTAATGCTACATAAAATATAACCAAAAACATGGATGCTAACTTTAACTGAGCCTCCATTAAAAGAGCAAAGCTCTCTAACTAAAAAGTAGAGGGTAGCACATTAGGGCTGGATTTCAGGAAGTGAATCCTGAGGATGCATTTGAGGAAAGTGATTCCTACCTTTCCTTTCTTTCCTTCTTTCTTCCTTTTTCCCTGGCTTATTTTTGCTTTTGCTTGTTTTTGCTTGCCTTTGTTAAGAAAGTTTTATTGGGCACATATAATACCCATTTTTGTATAACAACAGTAAAGAGCAGAGTAACTGCATCTATTAGTACACTTGTCCTACTAGGGTGAAAGACATTCTCTCTAGCATGTTAATGAAAGACTTCAATCTGACCCTGGGATACCCTTGGAAGCAATGAAGTCATTTCATGTCAATCAACCTAGGATACTACTAGTTGGCTACCATTTTTGGAAAAGTGAGGAAATGTATTCTAGTCATTTGCTGGATTCTGGGATTCAGATTAAAATATCCTTCAGAGCATATTTGTTCCCCTCTGATTTCTCAATAAAGTACCCTACGACTTTTTGCCCAGACCAGCATATTTCTGATAGTGAAAGGGGGCATTATTAATAGTCATGTTCACAGAGACAGGCAGCAAGCACAGGGAGCGAAGGGGTTGACACCAGGTCCTCTCTGCATATGTCTTATGGCTTTCAGTGTAATGTTTTCTTGGATTCCTGAGTGTGAGAATGAGGGGGTCTCTGATTCTGGTGTCTTCTCTTGGGCTCTTTTCATTTTGTTGATTTATCCTGTTCAATTTCAGTGGGATAGTTTTTGTTTTAGCTATTTATATTTTAGTTTGTCATGTTTGGTTGTTATCACTCAGAAGGAGGCCTGTTCTTTTCTAATGAAAGACAGAAAGGGAGTGATTCCAGGTGGGAGGGGAGGAGGGGAGGAAGTAGGAGAGGTAGAAGGAGGGAAAACTGTAATTGGGATACACTATGTGAGAAAAGAATCGACTTTCAGTAAAAGGGAAAAATAGTTGTGCTCAGACAACCAGTGCAAACTGAGCCATATCTTCACCCCAGTTCTGAAGTACCCTGCATCTGAGGAGCTGCCAAGCCCAAAGGACAAAGCATCCAAAGTCACGCCCAGTTTATGTAATACCATTGCTTTCCTCATCACTTACAGGACTCCATGTCGTCCTTCCCCCACCATCTGTGGGTGCCAGGTCTAGATTATACACAACTACATGTGGAGAGAACTTACTTCTTAATCCTTTCTCCAAAAGAAGCGACTTCCTCCAAGATGTTCTGGACGGTGGAAACAATATCCTGTACCATGTAGATTCTCTCAATTAATCCCTTTTTCTCAGATTCCTGGGAAACATAAAAAGCAAGATTTATATTAACTACTTAAAAATGAAACACTTATTTCAAGAGAACAGCCACATTTTCCAAAAATGTTTATTGGTTACAAGACATAATGGCCAGCTCACTCTTCTGGTTACTCCTACTCACACTTTGAGCCCCAGTCACTGTATTAGGGTCCAGAGATGATAAGAAGGGGTTCTTGGGACCAGAGGCTTCAGATCCCTGCAGAGAATTCTGCAATCACTTCAGCATGGCCAGCTGCTTTCCCTTCCATCCTTAGGTTATCTAAAGTACACCAAAGCCCTCTTCTATGACAGTGCTGCAGACGTGCCCCACAGTAAAAGCAGGTCCGCTTGGAGGTATACACAATACATTTCTGAGTACCGTGACTTCTTACACAAACTGTTGCATTTTAATCATGTTTCCAATACACTGCAGACATCCAGAAAACTTCTGTTATCCTTGGGCAACTGTCTTCAATATACTTTACCATGTTAAGTAGCTATAACACTGTAGATACAATTTAATGATTGCTCAAATTCCAAAGGAATTGGAAACTCCTGCACTTGTATTTTTACACTATTTCTTAGCTTGTGCTCTTCCCTACTATTGTATCAATTTAGTCTATTACACTTGCTATATACAGCAAGGGGCTTCATAAGACTTTCTTATTGAGAATGTTACTTGGTTTAAATTTAGTAAATCACTATGTAGGCAATCAGTAGGAGAATACTCCTAGGATATTCTTTATGCTACAAAAGAAGGAAAAACAGATAAACTCATTTCCACCTTCTATTTTGGCTACATTTAAATAGAGCCATGAATAGAATGAAGAAGCAGGCGCCCCTGTGGCAGTTGCAGGTAAATACACTAATAGGGCAGGTATGTGTAATCCATTCACTCATGAAAGTAGCTCCTACCCCATCATTTGGTGCAGAAGGAAACATGGAGGTTGCTGCTTCTTCTTGCAAAGGTAACTGTGAAAGAGTTTCACTCCCTACCTTAATTTTGATTTATTTTTCACTTACTATCATTCTTTATGTCATTTGTGCTAAAAATTAGACATGCTGCTTAAGGCGACCTCATTCATACTCAGCAACCCACATTGCCTATGAATAGGCACAATGATCAAAACCCATCTCTGTCTGCTACATAAGCCTCATGTTTACAAAGGAGTGTTTCAAGGCACTGGAGAGCTTGACCCAAAGGGCAAAGGAGCTTCCCCCTTGCAGCAGCATTGACTTTAGGTCAAAACAATTTCTTGGAAAATGACTCAGATTTCCATGTGGCTCCATTTCCTAAGAAACTTCCCATTTTTATTGCTTGATTTTTTCCCCCTACAAAACAACCAAAACTTAAGGTTCTGATTAGGAAGAAAGTGTTAATTAGTACACCAAACTAATGAAGGATTGTGACAGCATCCTTCCAGTTTTTAAGTGAATTTGACATTTTGCTGTGAGTATTTGGTATCCACAGATAACACTCAAACTTGCATATTTTTTTGAGTCAGAGTAATCAAAATCCTGTGTTTTTTAATTATGTAGCAACTAACTCATTTAGATTATATTAGCCAAATTATAAAATGACTTCATTTTATTTTCATAACATATTTGTTCAAAACAAAATATACAGTATGTATACATTAAAATGAAAAAAAAGTCTTCCTATTGATTATGTGGCTATTTCAAAGTAACATATCAAGAATGGTCATCCATGGTCCAAAAACTCAAATGCATCAATAAATACACTTTATTTGTGGCTCTACATTTATCTTTTATCATTATGTCACAGAATGTACATGTTAAGGACTTTCATCTTCTGATTTCTAATATTCATAAAGGTGTTCCTAACCATCTTCAGAGTTGAACTTTATGGCCATTAAATTAGCATCTTCTTTTTTTTGTTTGTTTGTTTGTTTTTTTGCCAGAAAGGGTTTCTCTGTATTGTTTTGAAGCTTGTCCTGGAACTCACTCTGTAGACCAGGCTGACTCAAACTCACAGAGACCCAGGGCCTCTGCCTCTGCCTCCTGAGTGCTGGTGTTAAAGGTGTGCACCACCAATGCCTCACTAAATTGGCAGCTTAATTGACACCTATGTAGATAAAATTAAGAGAGGTTTCTCAACAAGAGCTTAGGTACCCTGAAAACTCACAAGCATGACAGATGGAAGATAGTCTCAATTCTGTACTGCAATATCAAATTTATGCACACAGGGTATCTATTATACCCATTGCTATGAAATTTTTGTTAAGAATTTTTGAAGATACTGCTTTCCATGAGATATTCGCTTATTTGATTATTTTATAAAGTTTGTTCTGAATGACCAATGGGTTTACTATTTTCTCCAATTTCTAGATATATTTTATATTCAAATATTTTTATCATAATTTGAACTAAAGCATGGTTACCGTGTGCTTGGCCATTCTCTCTTCCATGATGTGATATAGGTAGAAGACCCCACCAAGGCACCAGTCTTTCCTGATGTCTGGATCATGAGCTACATAGGCCTTTCTACAAAGACCCTATGCTAGTCCTGGGTATTTTGTTACAGCAACATCAAGCAATCTAAAATATAGACAGCATGCAATGACTACATTTTGGACTACATTATCAGTCCTTGGTTATTTATTAACTATATATCTCTACATTATTCTCATTTAAAAAATGAATTGCATTATCCAAGTTTTTAAATGTGCAGAATTATTCAATATAATAGGTGAAATAAAATCTTCTATTCCTATATTCAAGTTATTTTCCACCATTCTGTCAATGGCATGGATTAAATTATGAATATATTCAATATATATTTACTCTATAACTTCTTAATCTTCCCAGTAACCATTCTGTATTGGCAGTTGGGGATTTTGTGCACTTTAGAGACCTGGTGACTGTCATGGCACAAAAGGCTGGTATAACAGGTGGATGATGAGGCTGAGGAATGGGTGGTTTTCCACCAGTCCCCAAGACAAGAACAGGCTGGCATTTTATTCTACCAGTGTTCATCAATAGCCTTACCTCTAGGGAAAGTTAGTTCCAGTCCCTGGAAGGAGTCAGGGATGGATAATTTCTGTTTGTATGCTAGGTTTAACCTACTGTTTGCCTTTGAGAAGTTTATTACCCACACATGCATTCCGGAGGATACTAGTAATGGCCATTGAAAAAAATCTGGAAACCTAAGCAACTTGCTCCAGATTGTTTTAATGTAAATATTAAATACAATTTTTAGCTCTAAAATGGAGAGTACTGATGAATGCAAGCTTTTGGGGGGAACAGGGATGTGTGATATATTGTTTTCCTCTGAAGTTTATTAGAACAGACAGGGATCAATTCTTTCTAGAGTATTCATTCAGATGGGGTGCATTTCTTCATGCATCCCCATACCCTCTACAGAATCCCTGCACAAGGCGTTTGATGTTCATATATGACAAGGGAAATGCCCAACTGAAGGATGTATCCTCATGTTTAGGGTCAAAGATACCTTCTTTTCTTTGGCTCTGGTGGCCTTTTGACAGTGTTTCTCTGTGTTTATCAAGGCATAGTAGCCTCTACACTATAGGAAGGTGGTATTGGTATTGTCACAGTGGTATATGTGATTAGCATCTTCCATGCCATCCCCTTGTGCTGTTCACTAGGGAACTTATTAGACCATCAGATAAGACCAGCTGGTTCTATCTGACTATATTCTCAGGATCCACCTGAGGCCTCAGGGTTAAGGTGCTTTCTTGATGGAGAAATGGATGGATATAGGGAAGGAGCAGGGCCTCAGGTGTGCAATAATGTTTAAAGTACTATTGACAATGACCTGGGAAACCGGCAAGTGCATAGACATCAAGCAAGGTTCTAAGTATCCTAAATTCATGAAAATGAAAATTCAAATTTAAGTTCCATTGGATGAGAGAAGCCTCCTGGGATACCCACCCACCCTGACTGCTATCTATTCTTTTACATTATGCTATATTTCAACTCCTTAGTTATCTAGTAACACATTTACTCGTTTTCTGCATGTCAGAAGTTATCTTTTAACTCACCAATCTGTCAGTGGGCATGTTATACAGGTATATGCCCTTCTATTTTCAAGAACCTAGTATGTAGAGACAGTAGGAATTTGTCTGTGTTTACAAATATGCGTCAATGAACTTAAACAAGGGCTGGCAACTGCTAAGAAAGCGTTACTGCATAGAAGTGTCACATGTTTTGGGTAGCCTTTTTTTGAAGTAAATTTATTTGTTTATTTAGTTTACACCAGACCCAGTTTTCCCTCTCTCCTTTCCTCCCAGTCACTCCCTTGACCCCCTCTGTCCCCACCCACCGATCCATTGCTCCTCATCTTCTGTTTTGGAAAGAGCAGGTCTCCCATAAGTATCAACTAAGCATGCCATATCAAATTGAAGTAAGAATAAGCACCTCCCCATGTATTAAGATTTTGCAAGGCAACTCAGAATGAGTAGGGTCTCAAAAGCCAATAAAATAGTCAGAAATAGCCCCTGTTCCCACTGTTAGGAGTCCCACAAGAGGACTAAGATACACAGCTGTAACACATATGCAGGTGGCCTTTTTAAAAGTACCATTCACCCAACATTTGCTTTCTGCCATTGGCTCTCTGTGTGTCTATGGGTTTCTGTTCTCTCTATTTTCCATACAATGCATCATTTTGAGAAACTGGGTCCTGCTAAGTGTTCCTCCCTCACATTTCCCCTGGGATTTTCTTGTGCAGCTTTCATAAGAATATGTAGTATTTGATGCCTTTTGAAAACAAATTTGGGGAAAATTTCACTCCATTTTCATCTAAGAAACAGATAGGTAATTAGTGATTTTATATCAATAGATGAAAATTTAGATAAACTGTAAAACTCCCAAGAGGTGAATTCCATAGACCTGCACATCCTGAAAACACTAATCTTATAGTAGCCAACATTGTGTTCACTTGACACACTGCAAAATTATGTCAAATAAGATATATCAATTTTACACTTTCAAAAGTAATATCTACCTATATAACAATGCTCA